CACCGCGGTAGTTATTTATGTCCGAACGAGATCCTGACTTAAAGACTGGATGTTATTTTTAAAAAAAGTCAGTAGACAGTGAAAAAACTCCTAAGAATTTTTTTCGGAGAAAAACTGTCGCTCTTGTGAGAGGGAGGTGTGGGGTTTAGGAGAAAATACGTCCGCTTCTGGGCGAAGGGTCCAACAGGGGGGAGCATTGTAAAGGTCACCGGGATCATCACCGGGTGCGGAAGATGCAGCCTGATACTTCCTGGCTAATTTCAGAGTCCGCTAACAAGGTTGGAAAAACAGAAACATCCACCCAGATTGTCGACAGTCCGCTGCGTGTCGAACCAAGGGTAGGTGTTTAGCCGCCAGGTTCGGCTGATGCGATCGCTGACGGGGTCATCACTGTACGCAGATAGCCAAGTAGGGAAGACCGTGAAGACCTTCGCATTAGATTAATGGTAGGTGAGCTTAGTCATGTGTAATAGCATAACATAACATTACTGAATTATTGCAAGTATTAGAAGTAGTTGTAGTAGCATTGCGATTAGCCGTTGGTAGACGGGCTGATTGTACCGGAACCGACAGAAAACGTTAGGATATAAATTAATACTACTCAAACATAGAAGTAGTATTAGTATTGTAAATTTTGGCAGCGGTTAGTTCGTATTATAGCGCGCACTGTTATATCAATCCAATTTTTGCTTAAAACCCTCTAGGGATTCCGACATAACGACATGCATAGGACGAGCATTCCAAGCTCCGACCACTCTTTTGGAAAAAAAACTGTTTTCGGGTGTCTAGTTTGGCCCCGGTCAAACGTAATTTGGGAGGATGAACTCTCAGATTTGTTGTTGTTTCTAACCAAAAGAAATCTCCTGATACAAGACAATGGTTCCGAACACATAATATGCGGAATGTTAGTATCAGGTCCTCCCGAATTAACCTGCAGCGTAATGGAAAGAGGTTGAGATTCGACAGCCCTGTTACATAAGACTGTGAACCCTGCCCAATAACAAGTTTGGTTGCACGCCTTTGAACCCTTTCGAAGATATTGATTTCTTTCGCGGCCTAGGGTCTCCAAGCTTGGACAGCAGATTCCCTTTGCAGCCATGCGAAGATTCCAAAGACTTTTGTGAAGCAGTCGTCACTGAAGGCAGAAAAAGCTCGCATGACGTGGTATGGAACAGA